TGGCTGTCGATCAACTTGATGCTGAACCTTGACTTAATCACCATCCTTCATTACTTGAGTAGCTCGTTCCGGCTTGACCTCTTGCGTGTCGTAAATGCCGCCCAACTCACACTCATCCAACTTCACAGAGCGAGTCACTTTGATCTTGGCATTTTCCTGGATGGGCCGTATTGCTGGAGCGGTTAATTGAATAAACCGCTGTGTTTACCGCTTCCGCCCACCATTCCGTCGAGACGCTCTTGTTATGCAACATGCTGCGGGCCTTCTCCATAATAGTCTTGTTCATACGCTCCGCCACTCGGTTCTGCTGATGGCGGTATGGAACATAACGCTGGTGCACAATGCCGTTCTGTTGACATATTCCAGCTCATGTCTTGTTTATAAATTCGGTTCCGTTGTAAGATCGTAAACACTTCAGTCGCGCACCCCATTGGTTCTCGTTAAGCGTCAGAAACCCCTTGAACTTGCCAGCCACTTCACTTTTGCTCTTGATTATAGAAATTTCCGCATATCTTGAGCAATCATCCACAAACGTAAGAGTGTATTTGGCACCACCCTTCGAGAAAGTCCTCATAGGTCCCATGACTTCTGTATGTACGCGTTCCAGCACACGCGTCGTTTTTGTCATCGAGCGAAATGGAAATGCCATGACTGTTTACTTGCCCTTTAACATCCAGCACAAAATGTTTCCTCATTTTGCTTGATAATTGGAATTCCGTTTGTTGAGCGTCGTGTCTTGACCAGCGCGTCCTTGCTGGGGTGTCCCATGCAAGCATGCCAAAGCTCCTACTGACTGTCAGTCCCATAATATTCAACGAGATATGCTTCCTCTTGCTGACAGTCAAGCAAATATGACTTCCCGACTCTTGTACCTGACGCAATCGCTTGCCTCTTGTTCTAGATGACGCAAGACGACCGCAGGAACTCCACACTCATACCACGCTCTCCAAGCTTGCCAACGGATAGTAATCTTCTGTCGAGTCCTGGAATGTGCAGAACTTACACCATGCGAATACCCTTTCCGTCCAATACAGTCAGTTTCACCGTGCCAGATTCTTTAACGAGCAACTTCTTCCCATCTGCAATCGTAACTTCAATGCTAGTTCCAAGGCCCTTGTAATCAAACAAGTCCTTCCTGTGTGGGATCATGTGGGAAGTTGCCCCACAGTCAATCAGCCATCCTGATAACATTCCTTCACCAACAGCAAACGCCCGTCGTCGCTGTCGGACCTCTTGTTGGCCGGGCGGTTCCGCTTCCTGTGCCCAAATTGGTCACAGTTAAAACACTTGCCCTTGAATCCGCCGTTATTGCGTGGAGAACCACCCTTTCGTCTATTGTCCTGTCCACTTTTGAATCTTCTAGCGTTTCCAATTACGCGAAATGCTTTACGCTTTCTCCGTAGCTTCCTTCCTTTGCAGCTTCTCCGATTCCTTGAGCAGCTTCTCTTTGACTTCGATCAACGTGATGTCCTTCGCATTCTCCACAATCGACGAAATTTAGTCATACTCTGACGGTAGACTGCTGAGAAGGACCACCAGTTGACGTGACTCATCAACTGGCTCTCTTGTAGTCTGGAGTCTCGCTACCAGATCATCAAAAGAGTCAAGATGGTCTGCCATGCTTGTCCCAATTTTTCCATCTTGAATTCGTGCAGTCGACGAGTCATCACCACACGGTTGTGAAGATTCGAGCTATTGTAGAAATCGCGGAGAGTTCCCAATGCTTCCATGGCACGCGTAGCCGACCAAATCTTGTCTGGTGCTGGATCTTAACGCCTTGAGCGATGATGCCGAGCGCCTTGGCATCATTTACCAGCCAGGCCCTCGTGACGTCACTCTCTTCCTTGACGGCCATGATGTGCTCCAGGAGACCCTTCCGCGTCAGGATCATCCTCATGCTGAACTCCCAGTGGTAGTAGTTACTACTCCCTAGGAGGAATTCGGTTCGCTTGTTGGCCATAGCAAGCGAAGGCGTTGCTTGTAGAGAAAGGCTTGGTGCGGCTGTTAACCTGTGGAGTAGAAGGTAAAAACCGAAGTGAATATATTTAGGTCCTTATTTCGCTGCTCTGTGCTACCTCCGATCCCGATTCATCTAGACCAATGAACGCCAACGATTATGTTATTACTTACTGTGACGTGCACGTAAATATGGTGACGTCATCTGTCCGTTCAACATGCATTCAGCGGTGTAACTTCAACAGCTACAAATAAAGCTAATAAATCAGAGAAACCGCGTAGACGAGAAGCCCAGATATCGCATACTTTATCAACTCCTAGAGATGAAGACCACCAATAAAATTAATCTGATAACTTGAACTCCGCTAAACAGAAATGTTGTGTTTGTTTGTAAATTTCTCTTTGAGTGTACTCAATCGGCATGATTGGCAAACAGTCTGACATCTTGAATATAAGATATGACGATTTGATAACTGTTGAAACGTCATTATCAATTAATTTTATCTCCTGGCTATTTGCCATCACACTCGATCCAATATTAGTGGGGGAGGATGTAACGGGGTCACATGAGAGTGACCCGTCACTCTCCCAAGGGAGC